CAAACCTCTACCCATACTGCGCATGCTCGCCGCATCCTGTATTTCAGGCCGTAGACACTTGTTAAAAAAGTAGTATGTAAAGCTTGAAAAATAATTTTTTGTATTTTTTTAAATCAAAACAATAATACTTCGTGGGGGTTTTACGTTCTTACTTTGAAATTAACAAAAGAGGTAAGTTGAAATCATTTGAACAGTTTCGAGTGGTGTTCCTAACTGTATATATGTTTCTTAAAAACCGAAATTAGGCTGAAATTTAATAGAGTTATGTTTTCTGTAAATATTGCCATTTTAACTTGGCATTTGCAGTATATGAAGTTGCTTTAAACTCTGTTATGCTTTTGTGTTGTATAATTGATGTGAATAATATATTAGTTTTAGTATATTATTAAAATGAAAATGAACAGATGTTTTATTTTCATTTTTAAATAAGTAAAACAGCGTAAAAAATTTGACTTGTAATAACTTATCTATATTATAATTTTTTTAGCAAGGTTTTACTTAATAAACTCTTAAATTAAAATCTTTATGCTGTATTTCCTAAAAGGTATTTTTCTAATATTATAGCTAATGGATCAAGATCTTTGGCTGAAAGCTCTTTCTTACCATGGACCTTTGCTTCTTCAAATTGTGCTGAGTGAAACGAAAGTAACTGGAGAGTAAGATATATTTTGATGTTTAAAGAGTTCTTGAGTTATCATTTCATTAGCTAATCTAATTTCTTAAGTTTTAAGATAGCATGTGATTTAAAATAAGACAAAACTAAAACTACAACTTTTGACTGAGATTTTGAGGGCAGTAGGACACAGATCTCTGTTTTGCAGAGGAGGGAGTTCCTCTCATTAAGGAAAATAACAGCAGCAACAACAACGAAAAAAAAAAAATCTGGCATTTTTTTTGGGTTGGGGCTTGTATCTGAAGAAGAATGATGTCGAAATTCAGAGATTTATTCCAAATCTATGACAAAATTAGGTAGCCATTTTGCCCAATTTAAAATTTTACACTGGCGTAATTGTCTTCTTATTTTACTTCTTAAATAAGGTACTTTTTCTTTAATCCTTTGCATAATAATATATTAATGAGTGCCATTCTAAGAAAAATGTGGTAGTAATGTGTGTTGGTAATGTATCTGAAAATAACACTTTGTTAATTAGGCTTTTTTCTGAAATGTTGCAGCTTCAGGATGACTCTAATTTAGGGGAAGTCTTTTCTATTTAATCAGATTACATAACCACACCTTATCGCTTTCATTGAATCCATGGGTCCTGTAGCTCTTGCATCATATCGAATTTTCATCATCTTTCATCCGTCCCCAAATTGACTTGACTGTTTCTGATATGAAATTACACATCACTTCAAACTGTGCTTGGAGGAGATATTGGGGATTTAAACTCTGCGGTCGCAAAGTTGACTGCGTTGTGCATCCTTCAAACCGCACCTGGAGATCATAAATGTAGTTCGCAGCCCATGAAGGCATATCCGGAGGGCGACCAAACAAGAGATCACAAGGCAGACAAAGATCACGACATTCGTTTCTCAAAATTAGTGCTGTCTGGAAATGCCGAAATTGCTTAGCAAATAACACACACCTCAAATTGCAAGCTGGAAAAGTGGGGTACAATTACACAATATAGATAAAAATGTGTATTGTTAATTTTCAGCTTCTGAAATCAAAAGAATTAAGAGTAATTATTTATCACTGCATCCAACTTAGTAGAAATCACAAAATTTTCAGAATGTAACTGATTCTGGCAACATTGCACACTACAATACTTCAGTCATGTTACTATTTTCACACGTGTTCTTTATGTTATATTCTGAGTTTCAGTGGGTTTTGTAGACAGATTGCATCATTTTTTGGGTAGAGTAGACTTTAAGGTACCCCTTGTATTATGGCAAAGTTGTTTGATTTATTGCCAGAGTCGTAGCTAGGGTTTTCAGCGCCTAGGGACAACTGAAGATTTCGCGCTCCTACTGCTTGCCAAGGATGGAAAACATTTAATTCTAAAATTTCGTAATATCAATTTGGCGCCCCTTGGATGCTGCGCCCGAGGACAGATGACCCGCCTTGCCCCCCCTCTAGCTACGCCCCTGTTTATTGCCAAGTTGTTGTTTCATTTATGGTAGCCTGAGTAGTTGAATGTTATAGAAACCCTATTGTGACGTAATCGGGTGCATGATTCTGAGAAATTTTTGAATTGTGGGATGTTTTGTAAGCGTTTTTGTGGTGTGTGTTTGTTTGATTCTTTGGATGGTAGAATGGCCGAATGTAGTAAGGTTAATGTGAAGTTTTTGTATGATTTGGAGCGGAAGGGAAAAACAATGAAATAACATATAAAAGGAAATTCATCTCTTTTCACTACACAAAGGAAATATCCACTGACCTTATTTAGAAATTTCCGTGTTTGACCAAAGAGTCAAACAAAATTCCTTAACAGCATCCAAAAACTTCCTAAAATTATCTGAACTTAGAATCTGTATACTATTGTTACCACATAAATTGACAAAAGTATCCTCCCGTAGTGCCGGTATCCTTTGACGTTCGACCATACACATTTCCTTCGTACAAACAGGACACTTATAATGGCTACTAAGTAAACCTTTCATTTACACACCAGTCAATTAATGCTTTTTCCCTTTTGTTCCAAATTGTACAGAAACTTCAAATTCATCTTACCATGTTCAGTTATTTCACCGTGTAAACCACAAAATAAGTAATGTACTTCCTAACCAACATCCAACACACAAACAAGCCTTTACAGATCTTTTCCCATCATTTAAATTCACTGCAATCACGCAAGCAATTGCATCATAATAGGGTTTCCATAACATTCAACTACTCAGGTTACCATAAATGTCACAACAACTTGGCGATAAATGAAACAACAACTTAGTGATAATCCAAGGGGCACCCTTAAATATACTTTAACCGTTTTCTGGTTGAATTCTTCTGCCGGTGTTTTAGAACATGAGATATAAAAAAAGGATTCAGAGGCAGTGTGGTGATTGGTTTCTAGGAGTTACAGTTAAAGCCTGTGTTGTTGCAAAGCAGTGTGCAATGAGAAAGTCTCTTGGTGGTTTAACTTTGCTGTTATTGAGAGTAATAGAGCCCAAAAAATTAACCTTGATAAAATAGTTAATCAGTTCACTTCTGTAATGGTTAGCAAACAGAGATTTTCGTAATCCAAGTGTAAAAATAAAATATAATATACTAAATGATTTTCTAGTAAACATTTTGCTTTAATTGTTTATGTTTCGTATTGTGCTTTGGGTTGATCTTTGGATTATGGTAACTTGGCGATTTTTTGGCGAACATTTGGCACCTGCCTGCCTCTATTTTTTTTCCGCCGCCATTTTGTCTTCACGAAGTAAAGACATTTTTCTTTTTTTTTATTACTGACACTTTTTCCAACATCTACTAGCCGAATTTATGCAAATTAAAAAAATGACATTAACTGCAAAATTGGGAAAAAGTGCACAATCGCAAACTCCTTGCGTTTTTCAGAATAGCACATACACATAAACCATTTACACGTCGACTTATTTTTACTTAAAAAAAACATCCCAGAATTGCACAAAAATGGCATTGCACACACTCTTAACTTTATCCATCTACACTGCTATTTTCTCATAAATTACAAAAATTTGCACGAAAATGCAAAAGGAAAATTTTGTAATCTTTAAACTCGGTAAAAAGCACATATATGAAATTACCTGATCGCGAAAAAGTATATACCCTTTCCAAATATGAACATTTCCACGTATAAAATAAATAAAATATCCAAAAACTTTTACCTCTAAATTATCTATTATATTATAAACGTCACCAACGAATTTCATACCGCAAACATTAAAAACTACAAATACTTAGTGTCAAATATTTAAATTATTTCCATGCACGTTTACTTCAACTGAAACGTATACCAAATTCCTACAAACATAAAATTCACAAAATAACTATCATTTAATTAAAATATCACTAAACCATGTACACGTCGACTTATTTTTACTTAAAAAAACATCCCAGAATTGCACAAAAATGGCATTGCGCACACTCTTCACTATATCCATGTACACTGCTTTTTCTCATAAATTAGAAAAATTTCACGAAAATGCATGAAAATACTCAACGTATACTACTCAAACGTATTCCAAAATACTACAAACATATAACTCACAAAATCACGATCATTAAATTAAAATATAATTAAATTAAAAAACACTACTTAAAATATAAATAAGCACATACATTAAATTAATAAAAATTAGATTACAATCCTAATTACTTTAAACTAAATCATTGCTAATAACAATTTTCCAATAATACCATATTAATTTATTTACTCCTTACATTTAGAACAATGCATAAAAAATAATATCCTCAAATGATTAAAAATACTAACTTACCTAATCTTCAGAATCTTCATTACGTGGCACGCACACTTCCACTATTTCACACAACACACAATGAAGCTTAATAAAAATAATATAGTACTACAGTTTTCCAAATTGCCCCCCTTTTCCGATTAAAGAACTGTAATTCGTGCATTAATGTCACATGACATATCTCATGATCTCTCATTTCCCTCACACAAAATAATGCGTAATTGGAACTAAGAACTCACATTATTACCAAAGTCCTAGGTAGTAACCTTTATCGCCTCCAAAATGTCGCCAAACTACCAGTTACCATATTCCAAAGATCAGCCATGCTTTGTTTGCCATCCAAAACTTCAGAAATCATATTCTTTTTGACATAAAAATAGCACACATCAGTGAGACAATTGGAAAAATTTTTTGTTCATTTATATAAAGCAGGGTGGCCAGCCTTTTTGGAAAGAGTGCCACTATTTGAAGGGGGAAAAAAAAAAAGTTATGCTTCCAACTTTTCCCAACATGTTAAAAAATATAAAAAGGTGAAAAAGTGTTATTTATAGGATTTTTATACAAATAGCATATTTTTTATGCAAGTCTGAGTAGTGCATATTTAAAAAATAATATAATAAATAAAACAAGCATACAACTAGGCTTTCATTGTTAATAAACATTTTTAAAGGTTCAGTCCATTATGTTATGTATAAAATGAAAATGAATAATTTGAAACATTATAAATAACAATCGGTCAGTACTTAACGTGGTTTTTGAATATGTACTTTTTTTAACCACATCATCTATATTGGGATTAGTTCTTTAATATTCTTACAGAATTAGGTGTTTTAGGTTCGTATCAGTTAATCCTGAACGATATTTTGATGTATTATGTTCGTAATGGAAAACTTTTGTTACCTTCCAGTAGAGCGGTGTTTCGATACACCTGGGTATCTGTACTACAAGGCACTACCCTATGTAGAATATAATTAAGTTTCGAATGTTGACAAGAAATAACTAAAGTATTAAACCTCGAACAATAGTAGTTTAAAACTGAATTTAGCTTGGAAAAAATTTTTTAATTTAGACTAGGTAATTGAAGGGTAAGCTAAGAAATTTAATAAATTAATTTAAGAATTTAAGGAATGCAAAAATGTAATAGCTGCAAACCAGAAAGCTGTTGAAATGATGAGCAAGATAAGTGATGAATACTGGAACTGATGGGCAAGATAAGTGATGAAATACTGAAAAAAATCAAAGTTCGTGAAAGATGAAAAATTGCTCACTGACT